CAAACCAAAAAAAAGTAATTTTCTGTTTTGTTTTATTCTTGGATCAGGCTTTAAAGGGTTAAAAGATCAGTGTTGGCCAGGAAAAGCCTGATCTGTCCACTTTGTCATAACATGACAAATGTGAAAAAGACTGTTTATGTATCTGTTGAGATATAATAAATATGATGTGATCAAATAATCAAAACACCCGTCCACATCCCTATTTTAAAGGGACTATTTATTCTATGTGGTTATAGGAGGCCTCTAGTTTTACACGCTGTCGTGCTTTCTTCCATTTTCCACCTGCTGGTTTCTCAGCGGTAGCTAAACCCTGCAGAGCAGAGACATCCCTTGCTGCGAGGAGCTGCTTGGACCAACATTCAGCTCAGCGGGCAGACGCTGTAGAGCTCAGCGTCAAACAATCACTGAGGTCAGCTTATCTGTCTCCAGGGACCCTGCTACCAGGACCCACTGCTGGGCCAGTCAAGTCTTCACATGTTCTATAGCAGCGCCTCCTTATTACCCAGGCTTTCTAAAACAGACTCACTTGGAGCAAAAAGGAGAAAACTATAAAACCTAACCTGCTTTTAGTAACCATGTGTTTTTTAAAGATAGACAACATGTAATTAGAAGTTGAAATATACATTTCTTAAGCAAATCAGGATTATTAATTGCAGGAAACTATATGACCAATTATAAATATTGGTATAAAACAAAAGTGACGACATATTTCACAATATTCCAATGTTTTTTTCAAAATAATGAAAAAAATCTTTATCTTATGTTCCTTCAGATCCCTCAATCATTCAGCTCCTAACTGCTAAACCTGTAGAACTTCTTGGCTTCGCTCTGCCAAATACTAGGAACCACAAATATCCATATGAAATTAAATCACAAAACTATTGTCCTTCGCAGTAAATATCAAGGAAATTAGAATCAACATACCAAAAAAGTTTTTAATAATCCACTTGACGTTGTATCCATGTTTGAAGACGTTTCTCTTCACATCCAGAAAGCTTTTTCTATTGAAAATGTCAGAAATAGCGTTGAGTTCCAAGCTTTATGTAGTAGCCCAAAAATTCAGAAAATCAACCTACAATGCAGCGATAGAGTTGATTCCTCGCCGCTATCATCTCAACCCCCACCCCCATACAGGGGACAAAAACATCAGCCAGACCAACAATTGCCTAGCCTGGGTGCCATTCTGAACTTAGTCCCGCCCACAAGGTTTGAGGTCGGGAAGTT